AGACTTCTACCCTTTGGATCCTAAACCTGGTAGTCCAATGATTTGATTTGATTTGATCTGAAATGCCTAATGGAGTGTAGTGGGACTGTGCCATTGAGACTGTTTGCAACTGAACTGTGCTGGGTGCAGTTTTTTTAACAATCTATAAAGCTAGAGACGTAGAAAGGGCTTTAAACTAAACAACAGGGGTGAAGGGTCAAGCTCGGGTAGATGGGATAAATCATAGGCTAGAGTTGAGGCAGGAGAGCAAAACAATAATGTGAGAAATGAAGGTCAGAGAATGGATGGAGGGGCAGGGAGAATTAAACTAAGAATACACCTACAGTCATGTTGGAAAGATAACAAAAACAACTAATCTAAAGGTCTTGTATCTGAATGTGCCGTAGTATTCAGAAAAAATCATAAATTAGTTGATAATGCACATTGAGATAGGTAAATAAGATCTGATAGCCATTAAATACATCTCTATTGATCTATCCATTGATCTAATATCCCGGTCCATTTCAAGTAACAGCTTTCATGGTTACATGTTTAAAATACTAAGCTTAGACCCATTCTTCTCCCCTTCAATCTGAATGTAAAATCAATCGTATTTTAGTCACTGCTGCCTCGGGAATCCTACACTCTAGGGACGTGGCTGCATGATGACAAGAATTGGGTCCTGAATATTAAGGGCTACATGACATTCAAGGAGAATAAAAATCTAGGTAAAAACAGAGGGTTAGAACCATTAATAAAGGTGCTTTAGTTAGAGATTTACGCAATAGTTACAGATGACCTAAGTTTAGGAGATCAGATTGTAGAATTAGTTTGGGTGGAGATAAGATATAGTAGGGTAAAAAAATCATTATGGGAGGGACAGGCTCTCTAACAATAGCCACAATGTAGGTCAAAAGAAACAGGAAGAAGTATTGAGTTCTTGTGACAAAGCTGTAACAATAATCATGGGAGATTTCAAACTATATATAAACTAGAAAAATCAGATTGGCAATGATAGCCTGGATGAGGAGTTTATGGAATGAAGTTGATATAATTTCTTTGAATAGCATATTCTGGGACTAACAAGAGAGCAGGTTATACTAGACTTGATGCTATGTAGTGTGACAAGATTAATTAATTACCTCAGAGTATAGAATCCCCTGGATAGCAGTGACTAAAATATGATTGAATTTTACATTCAGATTGAAGGGGAGAAGAATGGATCTAAGATTAGTATTTTAAACATGAAATCGGAGTTATCTGATGTGAGCTGGGATACTAACAAGTGAGATGCATTTAAGGGGATATTTCAGAAAATGCAGATTAACTATATTCCTACAATAACACAAAGAAGTTAAGGAAAGCATCAAACATAAGGAAAAAGCATATGATTTCACAAAGATGAGTGACAGGTCAAATGATTTGCCAGAATCTAAAGAATGGCAGAGAATGACTAAAAGATTAATCAGAAAATTAGAATAGTAGAGGAAACTAGCCAGAAATGTAAAAAATGGGTAGCAAGAGCTTCTACAGGTATTTAAAAAAGAAAAAGGGTAAATAAAATGAGCACTAGTTCTCTAGACAATGAGAATGCGGAGTTCACAATAGATGATATGGAAACGATACATGAAATTAACAAATACTTTGCTTCTGATTTCATTATAGAGAATACAGAAAATATACCAGTAAAAGCTATAAACTAGGAGGTGGAAGGCAGACAGGAACTTCGTGAAATTGTAATCACTAGGAATGTGGTACTGAGCAAACTAATGGATCTACAGGCTGACAAGTCCCCAGGTCCTGAGGGACTTCATCGCAGGATTTTAAAAGTGGCTTATGAGGTAGTAATATATTGATCTTAACTTGCCAAAATTTCCTCAATCCAGGAAACGTTCCAGCAGACTGAAAAGTAGGAAATATCATACCTCTATTCCAGAAGTGAAACATGCAGAGAACAGGTAACTCCTGGTACCCGAGGTAAATGGCTGAAACTAAATGATAGAATCTCCTGCTGTGAATTAGCACAGGCATTCTTCAATAGGGGTCTACGGCCCCTTTGTGACGTGAGAAGTTTCCAATGGATCAGCCAAAAATACATTGTACTCTACCTGCACACTGTTGCTTTAACCTTCCGAATAGTAATTTGTCCTCTTCAGGTGCTGTTGCTGACAAACTTCAACAGTACACCTGATTACTCTTTGTCTTATTCTGTTCAACATGTTCTTGAATTAGCCATTCTTGCAAAGTGGTCACAGAACAGCTCCACATTCACATCAAGGTAGCTCTTTGTGATCATGAATGCACCATCATTGCTGTGTAATGTGCACATAGTCAACTATGTCTTGTACTGTGTGGAACATGACATGAGTGGAAAATTAAATCCTAAGGCCCGAAACGTCAGCCTCTCTGCTCCTAGGATGCTGCTTGGCCTGCTGTGTTCATCCAGCCCTGCACCTTGTTGTCTCGGATTCTCCAGCATCTGCAGTTCCAACTATCCCTAATGTCAATTGTTTTCCAAAGGGAAGGAGCTAATTTTACTGATCCTGGCAAAAGTACATCCCTGATTTGTGTGATACAATTGTGGACTGAACTTTGAAAAACGTGACAGAGGTTTCCAAAAGTTGCCTGCAAAAACCTTTCTCTAAAAATGTTTAATGCAGTTGTAACTTGCAAAAACAGTGACAGAACAATCCCTCGAAGCAAATTTCAAGTCTGCCTGCAAAAGTATGCATAGCTCTGTTATGGTTTCCCTCAAGAATGTTATGGGTTAATTTCCATTTTGGATTCGGACAGAAAGCCAATAACTACAGATCAATGAATACAATGGAAAGGAAAGGTGAGTGATATGTATGACAGATACACAGCTGATCTGCAGTCACCTACTTTCCTACCCTGTCCAAAGTGAAAGTTATCCTTTTAGTCTTCCCTTGTGACTGGTCTTCAGACATATCCACGTACAAGATCCTGGCATGGACCATATGTGTGGCATTGAAAAACAGGATCGAAAAGAGCTCTTGAAATATATTGGTAACTGTGTGCAAGGTCTTCAGTGATAAGAAATTGCAAATTAAATGTTATGCTTATATGGATAGCTGTAGACTTTCATAAATTCAGCGCATTAACTTTGCTGTAGAAACCAACTCAAATGTCAGATGCATTACAATTTCAAAAAATGTCAGACTTCAAGAAGTTTGTTTATCAATAGTAACGTAGCAATGAAATAGTTATACAGACAGCTTCACCAGAAAGAACTTTGCACCTTACAGAGAGAGATAGAATTGAAATTAAGAGGCTGTTCTTGCATTGTCAGTTTGCTAATATATGCCATTTGACCTCATCAGAAAGCCACGTGAGAGGCAAAAGAAAGATAAAAACCCAGTTCAATTAGGGAAGAATAAAGTCTGGAAAATCACTTTCTAACTTCCTTAGGTGATAGAAACTAGTTCAAAAGACTATTCCAGTTGTAATTATGTAAATAGATACTTCGCAGACAAAATGCTATTCATGTACTCTGCTCACAACAGAGGCAGTCTGCAGGTTGCAAACAGGTCCTATTTTTGAGTCAGTTTGTAAGTCAATCTATATGCAAGTCAAAACACAATACAGGACAATATAAAATAGCCATTCATAAGCATGAAGAAGTGTTCGCATGTCAGATCTTTAAAATTAATATACCTCTGTATCGCATTTGTAAGTACAAGAGTTCTTAAGTCAGTCATTCATAAATCATGGACTGCTTGTGTATGTGCTTGCCTTCATTTGCATGAAAACTGGACTTTAAAGAGCTTAGTACATAACTGTTACACAGGCAGCGTGCACATAAACTGCTACTGGGTCACACTGATATAAGTAACTCCATAGTTTCAGTGGTCTTAAATGTGTAAAACAAATGTTAAAGGTTGCATTGTTGAAACTTATTAATCTTTAAAAATTGCACTGCTGGTGGATATATGTGTGGTTCCCATACTTTTTCATTGCATGATAAAATTGAGATGGCAATTACAAGCTGCTGGTGGATGCGATTCTCTCCTGAGACCATAATTTTATAAAATCAGTTATTACAAGCTTTGATGAAGTTAATTAAAGGCCATAGCTTAATTTTAAACTTAAATGTGTTATATTGTTTACATTCTATTGCACCTTTTGTGGTTCAGCCATTTTTTGGTTTCTCAGAAATAAGTTTTGCTAAGATGGTGTAACATGTCTAGAAGGTCAGGACAACCATTCATGAGAGTGAAGTACAATGATAAAACTAGCCTTGAATGAAATTCAGGAAAAGAAAGGTTACACACACACACACACACCACGTCTGTTGTTGATCTGCACTCAGTCAACTGCTCCATTGCTGAGGAGATGGCACAAACTGTGCTATGTTCGATTAAAACAGCAAATGTGAAGCCTTTTGATAATGTATAAACAAATAAAAAGTCCCGCAGAATATGTTTAAAACATTTTTGCTACTTGACCATTAGAAAGAATATTAAACATGGACTGGTTTTGGAGAGTTAGTGGAATTTTTAATGCTTAAAACTCAGTTTAAGGCGCAATAATTTAAAAATGATGACCACAGTTGACATTTATTTATTTTTATTTCTATTTTCTTGTTCACATACTTCAATTGCACAACCAATTGGCACATATTTTAAAATAAATATTCTCAAATGTTTTCTGAAAACAGCATAGCACCGTACCTCCATCCGCGTTTTATTTTCAATTTGATAAATGAGAACTATTCAACAGAGAAATTGAAAGAAAATTTGTCCTCAGTTCACTGTTCTATAGGGAAGTACCATTTTGTATATTAGTGCAATCTTTTTTATATCACTTCTTTTCAGCAATAATTTTGCTTGTTTTAATAATAAAGAGAAAAACTTTCCAATACGCAGCAATCATGCAAGTAGAGGCATTGGATTGAATATGGACAATGCCAACAATAATTTCAACTGGTTGCTCTGGCTGTGAGTTGGGAGCAACGTAAGATCATGCTATTAGTATCTGGTGGTGAAATTACTGAATTCCAGTTTGGAGATCTCCTTCTCATTTGAAAAATGTGCTTGGTCAATTCGAGAGCTTGGACTTCCAACTTTGCTCAACCAATTCTTCCTGTGGAGTAAGCAAAGGGAAATTATACCATTATTTAAGTGAAATTCCCCCAATTCCCTTATTCATACATCTCTGTATCATTCTGTAGACATTGATGTGAGTAGGTTTCAGTCTCCAGGGCTGTACAAATGTTGATGTAACCAAATGCTGGAAAGTCATAATAGCAGTTGGGTTGACTTGATCATACCTTCCTTCTCTTTGCATCTCTCTCTTAATGGCCTATTGACATAGAGCTGTACAGCATGGAAACAGAACCTTCGGTCCAACTCGTCCATGCTGACCAGATATACTAAATGAATCTAGTCCCACTTGCCAGCAATTTGTGCATATCCCTCTAAACCCATTCTATTCATATACCTATCCAGATGCGTTTTAAATGTTGTAATTGTACCAGCCTCCACCACTACCTCTGGCAGCTCATTCCATACATGCACCACCCTCTATTTAAAAAAGTTGCTCTTTAAATCCCTCTCAAATCTTTCCCCTCCCACCTTAAACCTAGGCTCTGTAGTTCTGGACTACCCCACCCCGGGGAAAAGACCTTAACTATTCACACTACCTATGCCCCACATGATTTTCTAAACCTCTATAAGGTCACCCCTTGGCCGCCTACACTCCAGGGAGAAAATGCCCCAGCATATTCAGCCTCTCCCTATAGCTGAAACCCTCCAACCCTGGCAACATCCTTGTAAATCTTTTCTGAACCTTTTCAAGGTTCACAACATCCTTCCTATAGCAGGGAGACAAGAATTGAATGCAGTATTCCAAAAGTGGCCGAACCAATGTCCTGTACAGCCGTAACATGACCTCCCAGCTCCTATACTAAAATGCACTGACCAATAAAGGCAAGCATACCAAACGCCTTCTTCACAATCCTGTCCAGTTGGAACTCCACTTTCAAGGAACTATGAACCTGCACTCCAAGGTCTCTTTGTTCAGCAACACTCCTCAGGACCTAACTGTTAAGTGTATAAGTCCTGCCCTGATTTGCCTTGCCAAAATGCAATATGTCACATTTATCTAAATTAAACTCTATCTGCCACTCCTCGGCACATTGACCCATTTAATCAAGATCCTGTTGAACTCTGAGGTAATCTTCTTCGCTGTCCACGACATCACCAATTTTGGTGTCATCTGCAAACTTACTAACTATATCTCCTATGTTGACATCCAAATCATTCATTTAAATGATGAAAAGCAGAAGTATACAGTTACTCAAGCAGAGGTGACTTTGTTGGCTTGGGCACATCCAGGGTGATGGAAGACGGTCATGTGCCAAAGGATTTTTGTATGGCAAAGTAGCCAGTCAGATGACAAGTCTCCACTTCAAGGATGTTGGTAAAGGTGACATAAAGGCATTAAGCATTAAATCTGAAACTTACCTTGACAATATAAGATTTGCACCATGATTTAACCAGTTCAATTTTACAAGTGAAATTAAAAAAATAAATACATCACATGATACATGTCAGTGATGTGACTGGGACTACTGATGTAGCTTTTATATCTGAAATGTATGTACTCAGTCATCCAAATCTCTGCACCTCCAGTTTTTAATTGAGAAAATATTCAAATTGATCTTTCTTTGATCAAAAGTGGATGACTTCACATATCACCATCTCGAACTCCATCTACTTGACTTTGCAGGCATGTATAGTGTCATAGAGTTAATTTCACTATCCAGAGCTCCAGGTTAACGTTCTGGGGACGTGGCTTCAAATTCCACCATGGCAGATAGTGAAATTTGAATCAATAACAATCTAGAATAAAAGCCTAGCCTACTGGCAACCATGTAATCATGGCGGATTGTTGTAAAAATATACTCATCCGGATCACTAATGTCCACTCGGGAAGGAAATCTGCCATCTTTACAGCATGTACCTCCTTTCGGTGTATGACTCTGAATGTGGTTGACACTTAACTAACCACCAGGCAATTAAGGATGGGCAATAAATGCTGGCCTAGCCAGAGACACCCACATCCCATGATCAAATAAAAAAATTGTCAACCTTTTTCCCACTAATTTAATCTATGCGACTTGGGTTGGAAATTGGTTTGAATGTAAAATTCTGATCCTATTTGAACAACTTATAATGTTTCAAATTGGGTGCCATCAGCAAACTTCAATATAGAGCACTCTATTACCTCACTCAGTTGATCGATGTGATTAAATGCTGAGGCCTAAATACAGATCCCTGGAACATCTCTTGTCAGATTCTACTAATCTGAGAATGAATACTTGATTCCTATAGTTTCTCTGCTACAGTTGTTTCCTGTTTGTATCACAACAAACAGGTGCAAATTCATCATGTATCATGCTCCTGGTGCCCGTTTACCAGCCTTATCCAACTTTTCCACCACGGTATCAATAAAAAGTTTGAAATGACTACATACCTTGCTCATAGTATTTCCTACTTGTTTCTGGTAACCTGCCTTTTCCTGATTACTGGTTTTGATTGGCAAATGGGGCGAGAAAAGACTTGTCCAAATTTTCCCAATAGGCCTTCTTGGGTTGTGTGTAATCACAGACTAATATTCTCATTCAGTGCCAAGTTGTTTATTTTTAAATTCTGAATGGGGTTAACAATATGGTACTAGCTAGATAATCTGTTCTTGTCATATGTTTTCAAGGACAGATACTCGCCAGGATACTAGGGATAATCCCCAGCTCTTCTTTAAAATAGTGCCATAAGATCTTTTACATCCACTTGAGCAGGCAAGTGGGGACTCCATTTAATAGTTTATTTGAAAGCTGACACCTCCAGAATTGCAGTGTTCCTTTAGTACTGCATTGGAGTATCGGCCTGTTTTTTCTGAGCTCAAGCATGGAAATGGGCCTTGGATGATGACCTTCTAGTGCAGCTAATCTGGCAGCTGGAGAAGAATTCAGTCTGAATGCTACTAGAAGGAAACTATTAATGAAGAAACTCAACCACGTTTATTACAAGGCCAAATAATGGTGAGCTCATTGGTGATCACTATTGGTGTCTAAATCATCCTACAACTTGTGCTGAGGAAGAAATACTCTATGGATTTTGCCATGCCACAATTTGTGGGACAACGTACACCATCAATCCGACTTAAATCAGTAGCCTCCCGTAGTAGTTTCAAGCATTTGCTGCATTTCCTATTTAACTGCCATTAAATTTGCCACACAAATTTAGAACTGCTACTTGACATCTTAAATACCTTTCTCATGGCAGTTCAGAAAGAGAACAATTGAAACCATGGAATCTCATTCCTACAGGAAGTAAATTGTTAGACATTTTAAAAATGTGAAAATAATTTTTCTTAGTTTCCTTTCTTTGTTTTTTTTCTCTCGCTTCTAAGCTCATCTTTATTCACCCTTTTTCACTGTACCTGATTTGACTATGGTTCACCATAGTTCCTTCTCTATCATCCATTCCTTTGTTTCTCATTTCATAAAATGCACTGGTTCAGGAGATAGCCCATTGGTCTTGTCATTTATGAAGCTCTCAGACATCCTGTTGTAATTGTGGCACCACTATCTTTGCTCATGGCCAACAATTTGGAGCACAAAATGTTTTTGAGCAAGATGTTTTTGATTTTGATTTACTTTGACCTTTTTACTGTCGTGTGTACCGAGGTACAGTGAAAAAGTGTTGTCTTACATGCTTTACAGACAGATCATACTGTACAAGTGCATCAGTGTAAGAGAACTGAGTGCAGGATAAAGTGTTAAAGCTGCCGAGAAGGTGCAGAGAGAGGTCAACATTAACATTGAGGAGGTCCATTCAAAAGTCTGATAACAGTGGGGAAGAAGCTGCTCTTGAATCTGTTCGTATATGCATTTAAACATTTATATCTTTGGCCAGTGGAAGAGGGTGGAAGAGAGTATTACTGGAGTGGGAGGGGTCTCTGGTTAATGTTTTAATGCTTTCCAGATACAGCGAGAAGAATAGATGAAGTCAATGGATGGGAGGCTGGTTTGCATGATGGACTGGGCTGTGTTCACAACGCTCTTTATGGACATGCCGAATCTTTCTAGCCTCCTGAGGAAGAAGAGGTGTTGTTGTGCTTTCTTTGCCATAGTGTCAATATGGGTAGACCAGGACAGATTGTTGGTGATAGTCACGCACAGGAACTTGATGATGCCAACTGTCTCCACCTCTCACCGTTGATGCAGACAGGGACGCACCCTCCACTCCCCTTCCTGGATTCAATGACCAGCTCCTTCGTTTTGCTGATGTTGACGCAGAGATTGTTGTCTTTACACCATGCCACTAAGCACTTTATCTCCTAACTGTACTCCGTCTTGTCATTGTTTGAGGTCCGACCTACAATGATGGCATTGTCAGCAAACTTGTAAATGGAGTTGGTGCGGATTTGGCCACACAGTCATGTGTGTATAAGGAGTACAGCAGGGGGCTGACTATGTAGCCTTGCAGGGTGCCAGTGTTGAGGATTGTGGTGGAGGAGACGTTGCTTATCCTTACTGACTGTGGTCTGTTAATCAGGAAGTCAAAAATCTAGTTACAGAGGGCGAGCAGACACTCAGGTCCTGGAGTCTGGAGATACATTTGCTTGGAATTATGGTGTTCAAGGTGGAGCTGTAGTCAATAAGTAGGAGTCTGACGTAGGTATCCTTGTTATCCAGATATTCCAGGGATGTGGGGCATAAGATGCATCACTCTCGTAAAATCTGGAGACATTAGCAGATTACACAATGGCAGAAATGCCTGTCAAACTAATTCAGTGTTGTTGAATGTTCAACTTAGAAAATAGTCATGCCTGTATAGTAGAAAAAATGCCCATCAATTGCTTTCTACTTTTGTGTAGGTTTTTTGTTTCCCATAAACTTGGAATATGTTGTTGCATTCATGTGCTTCAAATAGCCTTTCCCTTGAGAGCTTTTCCTTTTCAAATAGAAATGAAATGTATGTGCAAATAAGGAAGGCAAATGTCCCTTCTCCATGAATTACATAAATAAAGGTGTTCAAGCCAGAACATACAACTTAGTTTGGGAATAAATTTATCGA